CGTGTCCTCGCACCGTCTCGTACCAGGCTGCACGCCATGGCAAACAATGCCGGCTGCAGTTGACGAGGGGGGGTCACGTGGGTAGGGCACTGTCCAGTGTGCAGCCACCCATCGCCAAGCTACACCCCGCACGCTGCTCTTGTCGCACCCATCCGCCAGGACCGGCCCCTTCCCGGCACTGGGCACACCGACACTCACACGATTTGCGAGCAACACACGCCATCTTGGTGGTTGCCGCTGTCGGTAGTGGGTGGACCAGCCCATTCCGGGTGGCGTGATGGGGCGGCACTTGCACCGCGCGACTCGCACAAGGCTCATGGTAGCCTGTGGGAACGCGGCTGGGTGAGAGAGGGTGTTTGGGCCACGCGTGTGTGCGTGTGTGTGTGTGTGTGTGTGTGTGTAAAAGAGGAGAAGGGGAGAGGGGCCACGAAGAGGTTCAGCCCGCCGGCCACGGCCATGCCATTACACCTGAAAGGGTGGAAGGGGGAGGGAGGGAGGAAGGGGAAGGGAGGAGAGGAGGGGACAAACCAAAGGGAGGTAAAGGGGCAAGGAGGCACAAGGCCAGGCAGGAGGCGGAGGAAAAGGAGAGGAGGGGGACAAGCCAGGATGGAACGGGGCGAGGAGGCAGAAGGCCAGGCAGGATGCGGAGGAAAGGGGAGGGGGAGGGGAGGGAAAGAGAAACGATAGCGACTAATCGGGAGCCGGGGCCAGCGCTCCAGGCACGGAGCGGGTGGCTCCGGATGCCACACCGCTACACATCACAGCGCAGTACAGCGCAACACGGCCGCGTGTGTGCGTGTGTGTGTGTGGCAGCACATCACAGCACAGCACAGCACATCACTACACAACACAACACCGCACGACACATCACATCACAGCACATCACAGCACATCACATCACATCACATCGCAGCACATCACAGCACACGCCGCTTGGCGTGTGTGTGTGTGTGAGTGTGTGCGTGTGTGTCTGTGTGTGTGTGTGTTTGTGTGTGCGTGTCTGTTTGTGTGTGTGTGTGTGCGCGTGACACGTGATGTCATTTATTTACACATGTTCACCAGACGTGCTATCATTCAAGCCTGCCATCTCACCTGTCCGCTGGCGGTTCCCCGACATGCCCTGCTCATTGCATGCTCAGCCGTCCACACATCTGGAGCACCACATACCCTACCATGTGCATTCACCGTGTGCCGTCATACCGCGAGGCTGGGCTGACGCGTGTGCAGGTCCGTCAATTGCAACGCGCTGCTTCCGAGGACCGCTGTACAAGTGCAGGGGGAGGAGGAAGGATCGTAGAAGGCGTTACCGCGGAGAGCAGCTGGTTTGTATATGTGTTTTCGGATGGACAGGTTCTATCTGCAATTGTTTGGCCGAGGTGCGCTACGGATCCTCAGCTTCGGATGCTCCCCAGTGCGTCGGGAGGTCCCTGGATGTCCGTTGAGGTCCCCAGGAGCTCCGGAGGCCTCTTGAGGCGAGGCCTCCAAAAGCCACACGGGGCTAAGATATCTATGCAACTTCCCCAACACGTCCCAAACAATCCTCCTCGATCCTTCAGGAGCGAGGGTAATATTCAGCAGGAGAAGGAGAAGGAGGAGGAGGAGGAGTCGGATGATGATGATGATGATGATGATGATGATGATGATGATGATGATGATGATGATGATGATGATGATGATGATGATGATCGATGATGATGATGATGATTATGATGATGATGATGATGATGAGGAGGAGGAGGAGGAGGAGGAGGAGGAGGAGGAGGAGGAGGAGGAGGAGGAGGAAGAGGAGGAGGAGTAGGAGGCGGAGGATGAGGAGGAGGAGGAGGAGGAGCAGATGGAGGAGGAATCATCATAACAAGAGTACTGCTAGTAATATGGAGAAACCTGATAGTGATAAGAATAATCAGTAATCACATATGACTAACAACTACATTACAATTAAAGATAAGGCATTGTACGAATAATGGTTGTATTGTATACCATTACAACTACAAGTAGTAATACATTGGGAACACTAATACTAGTAATACTAATGGTACTAGTACTACTACTACTACTGCTACTACTTTTTCTACTCCTACTTCTTCTACGACTACTAATCATACGCAACTATTTGTAATACTATGGTCACTTATAGTCATAGTCATAAAATCTTTGTACTAAAAATATCAATCGTATCAGTAATAGCGATAATGCTACCAATAAGAATATGAGCCATACTCACACTAATACTAATGATCGTAAGAGACATGAGAAGCACAATGAACGGAGAATTGTACATTCCGCGCAGGCCCGCCTTGGAAAGGGCAAGTCCGGGGAGGACATTGCTGTGAGAGAGACAACAGTCTACAACGGCGATGGTGACGTATGCGATAAGAAAGGGTAGTCGCGATGTAGATGAGGTGGATCAAATCATCGACTGTAATACTACCAGTCGTTACCATCGCGAAAACGCTGACGGCGTAAGAGGAAACGGCATGATTAGGCAGTGTAGGCT